AATAAGCCATGAAGTGGCACTCTAGGTACCATGTTCGGAGACATCTGTTACCAACGTTTCTTTTCCCACTGCCAGTGAGTTTGGTTTATTTTGTTTAGTTCACCTTTGGGGAACCTAATTTTTGTTTCCCTTCAAAATATGGTTTCTTTTGTCCTTTGAGCTCAGGATCTTCCTTCAGGACTTGCAAAATAAGGGAGGTTTTTATTTGCTTTCTGTCTTGCGTTGTGGTTCTCTCTCAGCAAAGGAAATGTTAATGTCCATTATTTCAGCCCTTCAGCCTGACCTTGGGCTTTGCTTCTTCCGGTTGCCTCCCTCTGACATTGCTGTTACTCCTGGGGCTGTGTTTTATTTCTAAAATAGGGAGACAATTCTTTTAAAGAGTCCTATTTTAGAATACTAGATCTAAAATATAGAGTCACAGGGACTCTCTTCTGACCCAGCCTTTCTCTGCCTGAAACCTTCCCGATTCGGAGGCTCCCTCCTCGCTGGCCCTGGCTGAGCCAGAAGCAGGCTATTGGCAGTGCTAAAACGTAACAGGCAAAACTGAAGGTTGCGGAAAAGCTTGTGAACAGCAGATACAGAAGTTTATCGGAAATACGTTTCGTGCAGCTTTTCCAAAAAGCTGAATGTTTTAATCGTTAAACAACTTTAGACTTGATTTTAGAGCAAGGTGTAAGCGGGTAGTTGTACTGCTCTCAGATATCCTGCCAAGAAAACGCTGACAATTGGCCTCAACGTTTCCTGCTTTTTCAGGATGTCCCATCTTGGAGGTACAGTTCCCCTGAAGGGAAGATGCTTCTAGGCTTGCAACAAAAACAGATCTATTGCGCTGCAGGTCAGGCTGATGCTCCCTCTGAAACTTCTTTCTTTAAAGGGGAATGTGCTGTAAAACAGAGCTGCTTATTTGAGACTGCACTGGCCATGAAGAGAAATCCTAAAGGGCATAGAAAGGAACATCTCCTCACTTTTGGAATATCTTAATATTATAGTCCTAAGGACCTTCTGCTTTCATTGCTGTTCATTTGCTTTCATTGACTGCAGTACAGTTGCAGAACAAACAACGGCGTTCTCAGTCTGAAATAGAGCTATTATGTTTGCCTGAAGGTTTGAATTGCTGTCATCATATTCTTTTCTTTTTCTGTACTTCAAACATGGAAATAGATTGATTTCAAGACATCTTGATTAGCTAAGAAGCTAAATGTCCTAGCGTCTGTGCACCCACTTGAGTACCACTTGTCCGAGTGGCTCAGCAGTCCAGCGATCTGTGTTTTTTCCCTATCTGCTTGCATGATATCTATTTTGAGCATTTCTTTATTATTTATATTATTATTTGTAACTAAAAGTAACTCTTAGACTCTCTTACTGTCTTTACAGTCTGGGTTGTTACTGTGTACTAGGATCTCACAATGTGATTAAACACTTGCCTTCTAAAAAAGTCAACAGTATGTTTTGAATGCTCTTCATCTGTGTCTGGTCTATAGTTTCCAAAACACGTAATTTACATCACACAAAGCTCTACTGAATTAGTAACCCAGTTAAAAACATAGTACAAGTATTCATTCTTCCATTGAAAATGTAAAAAAAAAAAAAAAAAAACCCAGTGATGTTAAAAGAACGTTTGAATGCTATTTAATTATTATGTAGATTAATTACCCCTTTAAATCCCGAAGGCAAGACTTCTTAACGGAACATGTGTCTGTAGAAGTGGTGCACCATTTCTCTGGTTGTATTGTAGTTCATATCTTGTTCAATCGCATACAGTCACGGGACTGAGAATAGCCGTCTGCTATTGGATCTCTCCCTGCCACACGTTTGACGCTGACTGAGTTGCAGTTGACTGAATGCGCTACCTCCATAAATATTTGAAGTGGGCTATGGAAGTATCCCGGGGCAGCCTCATGTATTCTGCTGCTGTTAAAATGTGGTGTGACAGCAGTACTGGCAGCCTAAAGGCTTGGCAAGATGAGAACATGTCATGCCTTTCCAAAAAGCAGAGAACAGATTTAACACATTGAAAACACATCTTGAAAATACCTCTAGTTGTAGCCACTTACACTTGGCAGACGGAAAAGACTTTTTTTCTGACTTAAAAACAAAAGCTTCATATTCAGGCTGAGCTTATGTTTGGTGCCTATGATACTGTCGACAGTAGAGTGTTTCTTCTGGTGGAGGGACAGAGAGTTCTGAAAGAAATCCTTCTCTTTGTGGTTCATTTGGCTTAGCACATGAATGCTGTGTCTAAATTAGGACTTAGATGTATAAAACCCGAAAGCACTTTTTTATATTAGTATAGCGTCAAATTTTATTGAGTGCTTGTTACCTGCAGATGGACTACCCACATGAATAATGCATTTTCATTTGTAAAGGGTTTATTGGCTAAGAGTTATTGTGACATTTCAGACCATATGGCAATGGATTGCTTCAATTGGGGATAGCTAAATCCTTGGGGCATTTTAGTGTCCTTTTTGTTTTATGGATTAATCTCTAGCTGAGGTGTTTTGAGGTTGGTAAAAGCATGTAGCTACAGTTTAAAAAAAAAAAAAAACTACTTTTTTAATGCTTTTGATGAAGATTTTGTAATAAATCTTTGGAGGGTCCAGTTTGACCTGGACCTATGCTGACTTGCTAACGTCATTCTGCATTTTCTTTTGGGAAGAATTTATTTCTGGCTTCAGATTTATCTTTAATTGGTAATTTTATGGAATGTGGCATGATATTTTCAGATAATTCATCCTTATATCAGCTATAAAACTTAAAATAAGCTAGTGAATGCTTAGGTATATTCATAGCTCATTTAGATTTATCTATCTAGCTCATTTAGATTTATCTATCTATAGATCTTTGTGTGTGTGTATTTCTGTATACATACATGGAGATTCACACATTAAACATGCCACATTAAGAGTGTAAACATTAACATATAAGGAAATTTTGGAGTGTTATACTAGAAGAACATGCAGGAGAAAATTACTTGAGGGAAAGGTGGAACTAAGTGGTACTGGCTGCTGTATTTTCGCTAAGTAATCTCGGCATGTTGCAAAGCGGGGACCTTGACTGTGCAATTCCATTGTGATTAATCTTCTGGTCAATCGGCTAATGCAGTTATGGCGTAATGTTTAGCTCTAATCAATAGTGCCAACTAGGAATAGTGCATTAGAAAATTTGAAATATTTTATAGTTCAATGAGCTTTGGCCCTTTTGTGTATTTTCTATATAACCGTATCTAAATATGTAGATGTTTAGAATTGTGATTTATAGAGGCCACTAACTGTGGTGGTTCATACAGTTTCAGTTTTCCATATGGTTTAAAGTTTCTGGAGAGAACAAATACAAATATTACTTTTTAGAGCCTTTTAGAATATCATGTGAAAACTTTCGATTGAAGTCATTGAGTGATTTGTATGCATTCTGCTGTCTGAAGCAGCAGCACGATTAGAGCCGTTATTCCCAAAGTTGTGCTTGATCTCCCTAGTACTACTGATGCATTTAAAAAAAAAAAAAAAAAAAAGAGTTTTTTCATGAACAGGTACTGAGATTAAATGAAAGTAGCTGTGCTTGTCTGAACTACTTCATATTAAGGCAAAGAACGACCCAGAAAGACAGGGAATGTACTAAAAAGGGAAGCTGGAGAGAGAACACACAAAACGCTCCTGAAGTAATAACAATTTACTTATTAGTAGAATTGTACATCATGGCACGTAGCTAAGCTGAAAAAAAATTTAGCCCTTCCTCTGTCCTTTGAGGAAATATTTGCTTGTATTATATAATGAGAACATGTTAAATAACAGATTTATTTTGTAAGAGCTTGAGATTTTAACAGATAGGTGATATGAAACAGACCTTTTTTTCTGCAGTAATTAACTAGTACCATTTAAGATGTGAGGGTGGTTGTTTTTTAATATTAAATGTGAATACTCTCAACCTGTAAAATAACTTTCCTATTTTCATAATTTTTGTTTGGGGAAGGGACAGGAAAGAAATGCGTCACACAGTATTGGACGTGCATATTTCACAGACTGATGCTGTCGTTTTTTGGTGAGCGGACAGCGTCTGATGGATGCTATATATTTATCTGTCAAGGATGTGCTTAGCTGATGGAGAGAATAGGTCATTTCTTGCTGTCCCGTTATAACCTAAAGGCATCTGGTTTTTAAGGGCTGTCATTTCATAGTGTGACACTGCCATTCCATCCTGAGTGGGTTGTAGAGGGGGCAATTAGTCATTTTTAGGTGATATTCTCTCCTGGGATTGGGCTAGGAAATGTCTCTCCTTCTTGTGGCCATTTCATTGGGTTTTTTTTTTTTTCAGTAGCTCCTTGTAACTCTTCTGATGTCTGGAGAATATGCAGTAGTATCATTCTTTCTATTCTCTATTTTCTGTAGATTTCTTACTTCTACATATTAATGAAATGGCAAAATTCATAATTTCTAAAAAAGTATTTCTGATTATGATGGGGAAAGCAGGAATAGTCACATAACTTAATTTCAGATATCTAATGTAGATTCTCTGGATAGCCCTTTGCAAGCATTTCTCCTTCTCCATTGACTGCTTAGGGAACTTAAGCTTTAATAGCGTATAAATCGCACATGAAGATGATGGTCGTAAATAGGGCAACGTGAGCTGAAAATGTACTCCGTGATTGAATTGATATCCATAAAAACTGAAACGTGGAGACACCTTGCGCTCTCTGGTTGTCCTTCTACTTAATGCCTTGCCCATGCATCTGACTGAAGCAGCACTGCTGACATTTACAGGCGGGTATGTGCATCTTGCTTTTATTTAAAAAAAAGAAAGAAAAAAAAAGAACAAAGAAACCTCTCCGCAAAACATAACATGCTGTGGCCTGGAGCCTCTGCCATGTGCTCCCTAGAACTGAATGTAATACAAACTGCTCAAAGTCATTGCTTTCATTTTTATTGAAAAGTTTGTATTTAATGTAGTTCCGTAAAGTGGTGTATACATTAAAACATATGTTTTGTTTTGTTTCTGTCCCGGTGCAGGTGGAGGAGGGCTGGTGGGAAGGTATACTTAACGGAAAGACGGGCATGTTTCCTTCCAACTTCATAAAGGAACTGTCTGATTCTGATGATGCTGGACTAGCACTGGAAGAGCAAATAAAGCCAAGTAAGGAAAAAATAGTATTGATATTCTGTATGGATGTCTGTGTGTTCACCCCCTCACATACTGATAGGGTATTGTATTCTTACCTCTTACTTGGGAGTGTTTTCAGATGCCTTGTTTCTAGTTCATGCTGTGAAAGGGTCAGATGATGATGCTCAGTGAATACTGGCAATGCTATCTGAGTTGATACTCTGTGTTAAAACCTTCCTAGCTGTGACAGACCAAGAACACAGAGGGCAATGATGATTATTGGCTTTGTATTGCAACATGATTTTTCTTTTTTAATTTTTTTTTCCTTAGAGGTGGAAGCTGAGCAAAATAACCAAATGTCTACAAAGTGTCTCTGCTTATTTAAACAAGGGATTAAAGTGCCATGCCTTCTTTAACGACTCCAGTAGATTTAAGGAATCATAATTATTGGTGTGGGACATGCGGCACTTTTTCCCTCCAGGTGCTGAGCATGTTACTATCACCTCCGTCACCCACTGCCCCTGCAGCCAAAGGGAAAAAGGCCAGAACTGGGACATGGACTTTGTTCTCCCACTTACAGTGGGCCAATACTGCTGCAGGTGAAAAGCATGTTTGATAACTAAGTTTGCAATAGTTAAGCATAGTAATGGGTTGTCTTATTTATAACTTCCCATTAAGAATAACTTGAACCAAAATATGCTTGTATATGAAATGGGCACTTAACTGATCTTGCTGTTTTTCTGTTTTTCAAACAGATATTCTTGGTGTTATCTCCTAAGTCAGTGGTTGAGAATCTTTCACTAAAAGAAAAAAAATTACTTGTATTTAGATATTTCAGGATAATTCCCCATTTACCTGCCAAGTCCTTCTTTACAGTCTGTATACTGTTTTCAGCAGTGAAGATATTCATTGCCATGTAGCATTCTTCTGAGATCTCTGCAACGGGCAAAAGTGAAAGGGCACCCAAGGTCTTTGTTAGCTTATTTTAATGTAAACTTACCAAAGCTTAATTTATATATAGTTCACTCTATCAGCAAGATGTAGAAGGTCATTATGCTTCCTTTTTTTATTTCATTTTTCAATTTAAGGCAAATTTATCAGCTTTATTCCATCCCAGAGAAATAAGATTCTAAAAAGCCTGACTTTTGTGACGGTGAAATTTTTTCATATTGTTTGTAAAATGGAGTAGCATTCATGTGTAGTGGTACTGGTCACGTAGTCATGTGGTCAGTGCTGCTAATGATATTTATGAGTAAGGTTGCTTTAAACCAGAATGAAAATATTTGTAAAGGAGTTAACAATTTTAGTGTGATGGAAAGGCAAAAAGGGCATTAAGTGAAGCTGCACGTTTCAGTGAGATGTCAAGCTGCTCTCTATAACCTGTATATGCTATCATGTATTTATTTCATTATTAATGCAGTGAGTCTTGGAAGAATTAATTGTGTAGATGTAGTTTCAGTCATGGATTTTATAGTGCTTAGTACTCTATAAATGATAAAGGTAAGTGGTAATATTTAGGATGGAGTCCCCCCATTTCATTTGTCCAAATGAAAGGATATTCCTTGCCCAGGTAATGTGGTAAAATTTAGTTTATAATGAGCATCCTAAAAATGCCTTTTAATGAAAACATCAATTGGCAGTGTGAAAGCAGCCACAGAACATGAGATTGTTTCACCAACATCCCTAATGACATATACTTATCGTTTAGTTCAGACAATCAGTTTTTCCTGCTGGTTCCGACTGTCAGTGAAACCTCTAACTTGTAACGCTTGTATTGAGAAGATGCAGTTAACGTAAATCTTAGTTTTGCCTCTTTAACTACATTGAGGATAACTATAGCTGAGCGAGAAGGTTTCTCCTTTTATTGTATGTAGTTTAACTATATGGAGGAGCTTTGTGGCTAGCTAAGATCATGTGTTATTCAAGAGCTAGTTTAGCAAAATACTGGTAAAACAGAAGAATCCTGTAAACCTCCCGAGAAAGAGAAAGGGTCTCAATGGGTATTGAGATTCTTGCAAGGTTTTAATGTTTTTGTTTTTTCTTTTTAAACTGACATCATCAGATTAAGAGCTGCATTGCCCTAGCAGAATTTTGAATCAGCTCAGTTCTTTCTTAATGGTTTTCTGGAGTTGTTACAGGTATTACTCTCTAACACATGGTGATTTATGAGATATTTATGAACTATATTCAGTTACCCTGATTATCTGTATTTGAAAATCTGCATAATAGGATTGCAGAAATTTCAGCAAGCTTGTATATCCTCCATTAAAACAGTGACTGGCAATGATAAATTTCATTTCAAGTACCCCTGTGTATTCTTAAAATACAGGAAAAAAGAAAACAAACCAGCAAATCATTGAGGATTTGTGCATTATTCCAGTATACCTATTGAAATGCTCTAGGTAACATCTCATATGGGTGAACATTGATGCTTCTAAATCAAATTTTTCCTCTGTGGATGACAAGATGTGACAGTACTTTGACTCCGTAACAGCTCCTTTTTATTTCTCTGGAAACAGTGTTTGAATATGTGTACAATCCGTATCACCGGACTTGTAAGGTGGAAGTCTAGAATGTGAATTCTAGATTATTAAGTTATTTTCTGGGTGAACAATCAGATCTGAGTGGCTGGACCTGTGCATTGAGGCAGAACATTGGGTGGTCATTGAGGCTCTACGCAGCTTCTAGAGGGACGTAAAAGGGAATGGGGTATGGCACTGTAATCTTCAGCAGCAACCTTCAGCTCTTTAACCTAGTTTACAAGGTGGATAGGACAATACTTGACAGGTTTACTGCAAGATTTGGGAAAGTAGCGTGGGATCTTTGGAGAAAGTGCACTGTGCAAACACAAGAGTATTAATTAGATTTCATTTTAATTGCATTTTACTGACCCTCTCTAGAAAGCATCTTTTTTTGGATGAACAAGCATAATTTCTGCTGAACTCAGAGTAGAAAAAAATATGGTAGAGAAAAAATGGTCTAACTTTACTTTTTAGGAATAAAGTTAATAAAAATGTGTATTTCTCTGTCCTTCCATTATGACCTACACAGGAGCTTCTGTCCTCTGTGGAAAATAAAATACAGTTTATGGGAATTTTGGTATGCAGGTACAATGCGGAGAAAGTTTCTGTCTGTTATTATTTTGTTGTGTCCGTATTTTTATCTAGGACAACGGTAATTTTATGGCAGATCAGAGCAAATGGCTGGAAGGAATTATCCTTGTTTCTTTTCTTCCTGTACGATAGAGTAACCTTGGAAAGTTTCTTCACAACAAAGCCACTTTTTTGAAAATGCCTTGTCTTTTTGGAAGTGCCCAAATTTTTTTGATTACTGATAGTGGGATTTGTTTGCCCCTTAATTGAAAGAGTTTGGAACTGATGCTTCCCCTCAGCTGGTGGGTGCTCAGTAGATTGGAAATTGAGGCTGTTACAAGATCAAAATATTTTTTTTAAAGTGTTTGTTCCAGCTTTAAGATGACTGCCAAATTTTCTGTCTTCAAAGACACAGGGACAGGTTCAGATACCCTCACAGTGAATGACAGCTCCTTGTTCTTTAAAGCATTCCCTTGAATTAAAACATTGTTTTCCTTTGATGGAATGTTGCACAGCATGAGCAAGAAGTATACATTATGATTTTATTACTATGTTAAATGGATCCGTGAATTATAAGCTCAATTATTTTCTAGATTTTTCAGATATTGTGTACTAATCTTAAGAGTATTTTGAATACCACATCTTGTCATTACAGCGTTTCAAGAAGCAAAGACCTTATCATATAATCAAATGAAATGTATCTGAAAGAATGACAACTTAGTATTAGGAGTAAGATTTCAAAGGCATTGTGATATGTTTGTGGCAATGTCAGAACATTTAAAGGTGACCTATTATATCTTGCTGTCTCTTGTGTGTGTCCGTTCAGAAATTGCTGGGCCTCATTTAATATATTTTTAGAACCTCTTAGTGAGGGCCAATCATTTCTGTCATCAGTCCTGGCTCTAGTCATGGTTACTGGAGCTAGGAGTGATGATAGACTCATCAGCTGAGGATTTAGTCAGGCAACCTACTGTATTTTAAGTTCTTTAAACCTTAGATATATTCATTTTCAACTTTCTGGCTCTCCTCACTGGCATGAAGCTTAACATACCTTTCTCTCATTTCTTAACAGCTGCTTGAATGTTTTAGTAGTGTTCTTTTAAAGATGACTGTAAAAACAAGGTGGAAAAATGGATTTGTGACTTTTTTTGCTTCCTTATTATGTAAAAGTAAGGGAAGGGTAATCTTTTGTTGTTAATTAAGAAACAAGAATAGAACGAACGGCTTCTTACAATATATAAATGAGCATAGCATTTTTTTTTTCTGAAAGTCCAACAGAATGATATGCAGGAAAAGCTGATCTATACTTTTGGTACCAAAATGGGTGTCATGCTACGTTGAGACAATTCACAGGTACTGGCTATTACTACTTTGCTATAAAATTCTGCTGGAGACAGTCATTTTTACCATAGTGTATCTAGATGAGGTTGGCAACAAGCTGACAGCTGTATATTCTTGGTCTTGCCTGTGCTCCTCAGATTAAAGGAAAAAAAAATCAACTGCTCATAACCCTTCCCTCACTTGAATTTTACATCTTTTTTTTTTTTTTAAGCAATAAATCCATATTTTTGACGGAGAAAACGTTGTCTAAAAGGTCTAAGATGGGAAGTGGGTTTTTTAAGCTTTAGTATTTTGAGTTTTTTTGTTAACGTGTGCCAAGTCAAAACACTTGATTAAGCTATTGGCTGAAAAACTGATTTATTCCAAATTTGATATCCTGTCCCTTCAGCTAAGCATTGCTAAAGGACCAGGTCCCATTTCCAAAATATTTCTTGTAAGTCCTCTTGGTAAGATGAAGTATTTCGGCTGCTTACAGACTTCTGGTATATTGCAGAAATTTGAGTATTTCAGTGCCATTTTTGGATGTCGTCTGTGCTGGTTCAAGTGCACTAACTACATCTGCCTTGGGAGTGTGAGCCAGTGTGAGTACAAAACTGCAGTACTAGTTTTTTTCAGGCTTTCCCTGAGCTTTATGAGGAGAATGAATGTGAGAGGCATTTAATTTGCAGGTCTTGCTACTTGATGGACAAGAGACAAAACCTAAGAAACAATGCATTCTGTTGGGCATAATAAAGAACAGCTGTAGCAAAATCATGAGATTCTTTTATCTGACATACATGTAGTAAGACTATTTTAACTTCATGTGCAATCAGATACTTTTGGTTAATGTTCTCGTTGTTTTGCTAATAAGGCTTAAAAAATGTTAGTCACTGAAAGTACAGATTAAAACTTCTTCCTCTCCCTTCTTTTTACCGTCATTCGATTTCTTCTCCCCCTCCCTGCCCCTTTTCTTTTTTCTCTTCTTTCCTTCTCTTGCCTGCTATCAGGAAAATCTGCCTTTGAAGGGACATTTCTGTACAGAGTGGCACCGGCAAAGATTGACAGCTACAGACGCTATAACAGTGAGTGTGTTTCAAAATCAACAAGCCATGTTAAAGATGGTTTTAGTCCTCAGCACTTGTTTGATTTATCTACACTTGTAAAAGCGTGCCACTGCTACTCACTTTCGGCTACCCTACGTGCATATATATCTGTGTGTAAGCTAAAGTCAGTTTGCTGCTGATGAGCTGTCTATCCTTGATGCAGTGAGAATGCACTCATTCTTTCTGTGCATGTATATGTTATATGTCCATATAATGTATGTTTGTAAGCCCACAATAGACTGTGAATTACATGAGCTGTTTAGGTCTCAAGTATGGAAATTAGACCTTTTGGTCCCGTTATTTCTGCCACCTCAAACACGAAGACTGTTGATAACCACAGTGCTTTGAATTAAGAGTCCTTCTGCTTAAAAATAAAGTTTCTATTTTATGATTGCTAAATGCATAAAATATGCTTTGCTTTTCTTAAAGAACAAAGTGTGTGTTTTGTTTTTTGTTTATTTGCTGCATGCTCTTCTTTTGGTGTTCTACCTTTGACGGCAATTACTCACAGAATTTTGGTTCAGGTAAAAGATACAAAGCTGCTTTCATTTCACATTAAGGTTTTTGCCTTCCGCATTCTGGAAACCTGGAACATAATGCTGTTTTTCATATGCTTCTATTACCATGTTAATGCAGAAGAAGAGAGGATGGTGATATCAGATGCAAGACAGAGGAAGCAAGGAAGACAGAAATCTGTCTTTCCACCTGCTTCCCTGTCCAGAAATCGAGCAGAAAGAGATCCTACGGAGTCACATTCTAACTCCAGCTGTCTAAGTACAAAGTGTTCAGCCCTGCCCTGCAGTGAGCAGGATGGTGTGCTAACCTTGGCATCTGCCTTCCTCCCAGCCAGCTTTCTCCTCTGGACATCCAAGCTGTGCTGCCCTTCTGCCTCCCTTCTTGGGCGGAGTTTTGCTCTCCAACCTCGGAGGACTTTTGGGTCATGAATGTTCACAGCACAGGACAAGATGTTGGAGTGGTAGTCTTCTATTCTGCTAACTTGCACTTACCCAAGTTGGGAGAGGGGTTGCTTTGTTTTGTGGGGTTTACTGGTTTGTTTGTATTTGTACAAAAGCTGAAGTTTCTTCTTTGTGGGTCTGTGCAGCTCTGTATGTTTCCCTCCCCTAGTTCTCAGTCCCTGCTCCACGGTCTCCCTGCCCACAGGAATGCCTCTCCTTTCTGCAGCTCTTCTTTCTCCAGCTTCCAGCCGAGCTATTGGTCTGGGTGGGGTAGACCATGTGGCTGGTGGTCTTCACATTTTCCCCCTGCTTCTCACCCTATAGGCTTCATGATTGCTTATGTACCACTTCATATGCACGCACTTAGAGGGCATGCTCCTTGCAGAGATTTTAGACCATCATCTCCTTAAATTGCCTTATTATCCACATCAGATAGGTAGATGCATCCTTAAAATCAGAGGCAATTCAGGAATCTCTGATTTAGCAACCTTAATCTTTCTGGGCAGTCGTTGCACTAACGTTACCTTTCAAACTTTTTGGAGAGCTGCTCTCCATGCCTTGCCCGTCTCCACTGAGAGTCGAGTGGCATTTCCTCTCCTCTCCAGTTATATAGGGTGCGCCAAAGAGAGGTCAGGAAGAATTCAGTCACCTGTCTAGTGATGTTAGAGCTCTGCATTTAGTTCTCCGTGATGATCAATACTGGCCTGTGTTTGTGCCATGTCACACCGAATAAATGTTGAGACTGATTTCACAGTGTATGGTTGGATGGCCATCTAAGCTTTGTTTTCAGAGTTGGCCAAAGGTGTCTTGTCTGGCTTAATACTACCTCCCATGGCATTTGGTTGAGACCTGTATGTTTTTTGATTTTACAAGGTATCTCTGCTTCTCTGTAAAACTGCATCTAAGAAGGCCAGAGATATCCAGCTACATTTCTGGCCTGTTTGTTGCTTGTTGGGTTTGAACTGGGAACTGAAATGCTGAGAAAGGAATGAATCTTGAAAATAATCTTGAAATGATCTTGAAAAACAAGGTCATCTTGGGGGGCAGGTTAAACAAAATTAGAACTGGCATTCCCACTGCTTTCCGAGGTACTATTTCCTAAACTAACAAGCGAAAAGGAGATTTCGTTATTCTTCCTGTTGCGTCTATTGGCATCTCACTTCTTGCCTGCTAATTTTCTTTCAAAGCAGACCTACTGAAGGTCTGGCTAACTTGCTCTATTTCATATCCTATTTATGGTCCTTATTTTCACGCAAATATCCATGTGCTTATGTCTCCAGTGGAAATCATTTGGAGACTCTACAGAATTGCTTTCATTTAGGGATGTCTGTTCAAAACAACCCAGAGCTATCCTAATTTCAAGTTTCTGATTTCTCTGGGGGTTAAGCTCAGGAGTCAATTCATAGCTTTAGATTAATTATGCCCAAAAGGTGGGGGGTTTTTCACCTATATCACATTGCATGAAATGTTGCTCAACTTTTGAAGCAAGTTCAGAAGTTTTACTTTTCAAACATATGTGGAGTGTTAAAATAATAGTTTTATTTTGAAAGTAATTTCCCAACGGCTATGTTGAAAAGGAAATTTCTTATGTAACCAAGGCCCAGAACTGCTAAATGCTGTAGCTAAATGTATGTCGCTGCTTCTAGAGATACCTCTCACTGAAATATGCAAGATTTCTCCTGCATAAACACCCAACATTGTCTTCATATGCTGACATGGCTTTTTTGGTCATTAGATTACTGCTGAGTGGAGTTCAGCATATTCTAACGCCTTTGGCCTTCTGCTCATTAACCTGCTGACAGTAAATTCCTGCTCTCACAAAGGCTCTTTTTTAATAACAAATAGAGCCTAGCAGGTGTTTTTTTTTTTTTTTTTTTTTTTTTACTATTTTAATTTCTCTTTCTTCCTTCGCTTTTTCCTCTTTGAAAATGCTTCTGCTGAGGAACAGGGCACATACAACGCCTGAATATGACAAATATTTGCCTCTCTCTCTTTATATATGGATCCACAATGCTGTCAGTAATAGATATTAGATATAATGGAAGAAGATGAGACAGGATCGTTGAAACAGAAGTATTCGTGAGTAATTTTAATTCTGTATTTTCTATTGCTCCAGCACGTGTTTTTTTTCTTAACCCTTGAGCAACAATGGCTAGTCAGAGTTCAAAGAAATCAATAGGACTGATGTATTTATGACATTATTAACTCCAATTAGCAACGTCTGAATGTGAGCGAAGTTGACAAGAAACCCAAATGTCAATCTTAACGATACTGGAGAGAGGACAGTTAAGGTTTTCTATTTCTTTTCAAGTTCTAACTTGCTGACTAAGAAGAACATATAATAAATACACAGCTGCTACAATGAGAAATAATATCTGAGAAATAACAAAGCTAAAAAATGGGTGAGGGAAAATTTTCTAATTGAGAATAAGCATACCGTTGTCTAGAAAACAAATGTACAGATGGCAAGGGAAGGAGTGGGGAAGAATTATGTTGATTGGGGAGAAACACATGAAATCCTTTCAAAGATTTGGGCTCCCACTAGCAAGTGGGTTTCCATTAATCACACAAAAGACCATTTTTCTGTGAGCGACAGGGAAAGAATCCTTTTGCTTGTGGTTGCTTATAGATTCTTTCCCATACAATAAGCAATGTATTCCTGTACTTGCTCAGGACAAGGGACATGAAAAAATAACTCGGAAATCAAGACGATGATAAGGCATAGTACGGTTGCAGAACTTCTGAACAAATGATTGTTACTGTTCGCTCTTACAGTACTCGGAGAAAGGCTGGGGCTGAGGTGAAGCCACCAACTTCCATATTGATGGCTCCGTGGTCATGTTGCAGAGGATGCTTGCGCTGCACTGCCCTTCATGCATGCTGCTACACGGGGCAGGCCACTGCTGCCCTGTTCCCCGCATGATTTCTTGTGAAAGCCTAAAAATCTTGGGGCTGTTTGTTACACGGCAAGAACCATCGTGCTAAGGAAAATGAACGCGCTGAAAGGAAATGACAAAGTGTTTGGACTACAAGAGTATGTTTTTTTTCAAAGAATATAACTGAGACTAAGAAATACTGACTAATATTGAGATAGTCTACGTTAGCAATTTGTGTGTATAACTCTTGCTTAAGAATTTGTTTTTTGAATATATGGATTTATTAACCTTGAATTTCTGAAGGTTTAACACAGCTTCTAAACTAATATTTCAAATCAAACTGCCTTTTCTATTCTTTTTAATGACAGTACAGAATATTGTTGGGGATGGCATCAACAAAGTATGGGGTTTTTACAGAGAGCAAGCTCAAAATAACCCCTGCTAGGCTGTGTTGTTTCTCTACGGCTTTGCGAAGAAAAGGAAGGAAGACGCTTCCTCTCCCGTCTCCTCCTGCAGTTATCATGCGCAGCTTCACCTTCTCTGTCGTTCAGATCGGTCACTCGGGCGCTCCGTGCCGTCCTTCTTGAAACAGAAGGAACGAATGCATTTCCCCTTCCCTTCCATAAAAGGCAAAAATCCTAATAAGCTCCATTTACACAGTGCTTTATTCTGTTAAGCACAGTTGACAGCATTTCTCTCTGGCTGCCAGACCAAATCAGGCAGTTCTTTGCGCTGTCTCAGGTGTGTGCCGCCGAACAGCTGACCTTTCCATCGCTTAGCAGAGCCAGCCTCATCAGTGCTGAGAGCGCGTCCGGGGGAACGCTGGCTTACCCAGCATCAGCAGGGTCTGCCTTTTGCCCAGTGCCATAAAGCCTCTTTAGAGAGAAACAATCCTGAAAAAAGAACAAAAATTAAAGTGGTAAATAATACCTTAAAATAGAAAGCTCTGTGAAACTCACAATGTATTCCTTATTTTCCTGCCATGTTTTAACCTATTTAGAAACAATTCTTTTCCTGCATTGAATGGAGTTAATTTTATCACAGATGTTTATTTTTCTTTTAATGGCTTTAATTTACACAGCCCTTTATCATCCCTAAATATCTTTCTGTTTTAGAATCTTGGTCTGATGCCAGCACTGCTCTGGGG